AAATGAGGTTTAGAGAGTTACTTGCCCGTGGTCACATAGCTCCTACATATCAGGGTCAGGATTCAAACTTTAGCACTGATCTGCACCAAGTCAAACTCTCTACCCATTATACCACTCTTCTTTCTCTCAAAAAAGAAGCTAGTTTGATAATACATATAGAAATAAAAAAGTAAGGGTTAAGTATTTGGGGTATAATAATAGAGAAGGTGAAGTCCTCTTTGCATTATCTCTTCTTGAATGGAAGTGTTCTCTGTGTCAATGGAGCACATGCCCTGGTGAGTTTTATTATGATTGCTAGCTAAAAATTATATGGCACCTAAGAGGTATCAGACACTGTGCTCAGCACTTTATAATTACTTTCTCATTTACTCCTCACAAGAACCCTGGGAGGTAAAAGCTATTATTATCCCCCATCTTACAGATAAGGAAACTGAAGCAAACAATGGTTAAGTGACTTGCTCAGGGTCACCTGGCCAGTAGGTGTCCAATGCTAGATTTGAACTCAGGTCTTCTTGACTCCAGCTCCAGTGTTCTGTCGGTTTGTGCTACCTAGCCCCCTCTACTAAGATGAATAGGCTTTAATTCTAGACCAAATGATGAATGGTTAAAGAAAGCTTGTCCTGCTTTCAATGTCCAGTTATCCTTAGTGCTCATGTGGGAGTTGATGGGTAAAAGAGGGTAAACACTGTCTCATGTTTATATGTTCAACATCTAGAACATTACATGGCCCATAGGAGGCACTTAATAATTGCTTCTTGAATCAATTTGAATTGAGTCCATTTTTATATTGGGAGCACTCACACTGGTAGGGCCTTTTTCCTTTCTTTGTATCTCTAGTGTTTAACACATAGGAGGTGTTTAATAAATATTTATTGACTGATTGACTAATTGATACCCAGAAAGAACCATAGCATGATGCTTGTTCAACACCTTCATTTTTCAGAGGGTAAAACTAAAAGCCACGACTGGAACAGAGACTGCACCAAGGTCACCCTGCTAGGCTGCATCCAGGGCCAGACAGGAAACCACACCGCCCACCTCCTAGGTCCGGGCCTGTTTGGTCACAGCCTGCCTGCCATGAATCCATCCATCATTTCACTGAGCTCAGAAGCTTGTCAGCAGTGCACCTCTGGATCAACGCACCAGCCTACAGCCAAGAAAACTGACCAGATTTAGCGACGCTGCTGCAAATTACATGTTCCCTCTATCAGTGATGAAATGGTAATTACAGACCAGAAATAATCTGGGGGAGGAATTGCTTCTGTCGGGTCTGTTTTTGGACAGTCGTGTTTTATGTAACAAGAGCACAAAGTCTATAGCTCTTCAAGGTTGATGGAAAGCTTTTCTTACAACAGCTGGTAGTGGTAAGGAGTACAAATATTTCGGGACCATTTTACAGATGACAAAACTGAGGTTTAGAATAATGAAGTGACTCACCCAGATAGGAAACTGTGTACTTTATTGTTATTGCTGTTACTGTTGCTGTTGTTTTAAAAGCAAGGTATGGTGGAAAGAACCCTGGATTTGGAGTCAGAGACCTGGCCTGAGTTCAGGTATGGTGGTAATCACTAGAGATACAAGAAGAAGAAAGTTGGATAAGTCCAAGCATCCCATGAAATGTCCGATTGGAGCCTTGAACATCAGTTTTCTAAGTGTGAACTCAGGACTCTTTCCAATGGGCCGCATAGCTCTGATTAAGGACCACTTGTTACCCTCCTCTGTACCTCATTAAGCACTGCACGAAGGATCTTAGGCAGCTAGGTGGTGCAGTGAATAGAGTGCCAGGCCTGAAGTCAAGACACTTATTAACTGTGTGACCCTGGGCCAGTCACTTAACCCCGTTTGCCTCAGTTTCTACATCTGTAAAATGAGCTATAGAAGGAAATGGCGAACCACTCCAATATCTTTTCCAAGAAAACCTCAAAAAGGATCACAACGGATTGTACATGACTGTAATGACTAAACAATAATAATATTGCACATAGTAGGTGTTCAGCCAAGCTATATTGAGTGAATATCTCTGTCCTTTAAAATGTTTAAATATATACACACACATATATGTGTGTATACTGTATATGTATATATGTGTATGTATGCATATCTAAAAATGTATATATACACATATACACACATAAATAGATATGCATATGTACACACATATACACACATACCTACCTCAGCATTATTGTCTCAGTTCAGAATCTTAATGTTTATTCAGACTATACAAGAGAGAGAGTTGCATGAAGAAATTAATGTGGATGCCTAGGGTAATCAATCAACTTACAGTTTGGGGTTTGATTTTCTTTGGTTTTGTCTGTGATACTTACAGAGTTTAGAAGCAAGGCCAGTTAACAGAGACTCAATACAAGAGCACAGCACTGTCCTATAAAAGGAGGCTGAAGCTCAAATTAGCTGAGTCTGGTGAAGGAAGCTCAGGAAAACCCAAAGGGAATTTTTTTTTGTTTGATATGTATTGCATTGTTTTAACTGGATCAGGGAAAAGAGTTAAAGAAAAATGAGGACCACCATTTGGGGTGGACGGCAAGCGACAGCAGAGATAAACAGAGCTGCTTGGTTTTTATTCTACTTTTCTTTTCTCTATCAAAGACAATGCCCTTTCCAAAAGGAAAAAGAGAAAATAAAAATTGTTAATAGGAGGTTGATTCTCAATATAAGCAATGAGATGCTCTAAGAACACATACCATTTGATGAATTCTCATTGCATGAGCAGAAAAATACCTCCTCTAGTACAGAAGAGGGGAAAAATCAGGTGAATTTGAACATTATTGTAAGTGACATTTGAAATAGTCAAAGATTATTGAAAATGAGGGAGATACCATGGGGCTAGAGAAGAGCACATATTACTTTGATTTTTTAAGGGGAAAAAAGAGACTGTAAACTATGAGTTGGTTTATTTGACTTAAAGTGCAGTCAAAATTCTGACTTAGACCATTAAAGAAATAATTGTGGGAAACCTAGAAAAGAAAGCAGTGGTCACACAAGAACAACCGTGTTTTATTTTACGATAGTGGGACTTAATTGGCAGATCAGTGGAATGCTGAAACTACAGATTACTTCAATTTTAACAATGCATTTGATACAGTATCTAATTCTATTCTTGTGGAGAAGATGAAAAGATATGGGTTAGACTATGGTACAACCCAAAGGATACAGATATGGTGGAGTAACCTGACTCAAAGGGGGGTCATTTAAGGTTGGAGGTCAATTTAGAAGGCGATCACCAATGGAGTGCTCCAGGAGTGTACTGGGCCTTGTATATTTCATATACATATGTATACACACATATATAAACATATATGTACATATATGTATATGTGTGTACATATCACATATATTTTATATACGTATGTATGTATATAAATAAAATTAACTTCTTGGATAAAACAAAGGCATAGATGGCTTGTTTACAAGGTATGCAAGTGACACAAAACTGAGAGGGGAATCTTAAACACACTGGATGACGGAGTCAAAAAAAAATAAATCTTTACAAGCTAGAAAGCTAGACTGAAGCAAATATAATGTAATTTGAAAAAGAAATACGGGTTCAAAATCAACCATAGAAAAATAGGGAGGAGGAGAAGAGGAAGAAGAGGAGAAGAAGAAGATGTGCTCGACACGCCAGCAGTTGAAAAACATGGTAGCCAAAAATCATCAATTTGATGTTAATGTTTCTCTGAGAGACAAAGCTTCCAGGAAAAAGGAGGAGATATTCCTGTTGAATTCTGACCTTATCAGAACTCATCTGGAGTACAATGTTCAGGTCCATACCTAGGTGGCACCTACTGGAGCTATATTCACCCTAGTGAATAGGGTGTGGGATTCAGGGTTAGGAAGACCTGAGTTCAAATCTTACTTTGACACATTAACCACGTGGCCCTGGAAAAATCACTTAACCTCTCTTAGCCTCAGTTTGTTTGTGAGGGTAATAATATGAGGGTAATAATAGCACTTACCCCCTAGGGTTGTTGTGAAGACAAATGAGTAACACATACTAAGTGCTTCACAAATCTTAAGGCACCATATGAGGAATTATGATGATTAATTATTGGTATCACAGGTTTGCAAAGACATTAATAAACTGAGGGAGCTTATCCATAATTCATAACCCAGAGGAAGACACAGAGGATGGTGAAGGGAATTGAATCTGTTCCACACGAGGGCCAGTGGGATGTTTAACCTGGGGCAGAGAAGACATAGGGGGCCACAAGGATGGTCTCTAAGCATTTGAAGGACCATCACTGGAAGGAGGGGTTGAATTTCTATTTAGACTCCAAAGGACAAACCAAGAGTAATTAAAGAAAGTGTCAAAGAGGCACAAATTGATGCTGCCTGGTTACTTAGAACTTAGTTGAGAAATTCTTGCTCATATATGGCTTGAGGTAAATGGTCTTCAAGGTCCCTTTCCTCTGGAAGTGCTATGATCCTGTGACCCATCCCTGAGATTCTGTGATTTCTCTAGTTCTTTCTCCCCACAGTGCCTAGTCCCATGGTGAGTGCAGGTAATGCACTTGGCCAACTTCAATGTTGTACATAAATGTCCATTATTGTTGTTATTAAGGACATAGTCACCCTAGGATCATAGTTATGAAGCTGGATGGAACCTTCTATTGCTTAATCCAACTCCCTCATTTTACAGAGGAGAAAACTGAGATGCAGAATGGTTAAGGGTGCCAATAGGATCATGGGCATAGACCAAGAAGAGGACTTAGAGGACATCTTATCCAGTCCCCTCCTTTTATTTTCATTTACAGAAGAGGAAACTGAGGCAACATGGGTAGTATCAGAGGCTGGATTTGAACCCAGATTCTCTAACTCAAAAACTGCCCCCCCAAGGGAACCACATGGTCTCTCGTTTCATCATTGACATTCAAAATTTGTTGAAGTAGACATATTTGTACTTCCATTGGAAACTAAAGCTCATTTGAATGTGAAACCATAGCCATTTTCCATGAGCAGAATTTTAGATAATGCAAACATACCTTCTCAACAGTTAGAGCTGCCCAGTGGTAGAACTGGTGATCCTGGAAAGTGGGAAAGGGTAGGCCTCACTCGAGGTCTTCCAACAAAAATGTGGTAGCCAAAAATCATCAATGAAGCAAAACTTTGTCAGGTGAGTCATGGAGAGGTATTGGGGTTCAGGGATGAGTTCAGAGCCTCTGGGCTCCCTTCCAACTTTGATCAGTGAAATTGAAAGTTAACTTTTTGCCATGTAAATACTTGCATGTGTGTATGTTCTCTTCATCTGAGAGGAAAAAATAGAGAATAATAAGACTTCCCTCAGGGTTTTGGTGTAAGGGTCAAATGACATTATAGCTTCATAGATCTAGTGCAAATAAGATCATAATGTCATAGGTTTACAGTTGGAAGGGTCCTCACAGTGAGCTCCTTGAGGGCAGGGACTGTCTTTTGCCTCTTTTTTTTTTCATCCTTGGAACTTAGCACAGTGCCTGGCACATAGTAGGCTCTTAATCAATATTTATTGACTGACTGTTGACTCAATGGATTCAACATGTGGGTGATGCTAGATGCCTTGGAGAGGCAATAATAAGAAACCCACCTCCAAGTCCTACTGAGAATTTTTGTTTAGGTTTTTGTTTTTTCCTTTCCTAACGTGGTGTTAGTATCAGCTGAGATGAAGGACTCAGCCCTTCTCAGTCCACATGCTGTGGTTTCAAAGGACACTTGTGGTCCTTACAGGGAGGAGTTTACCATTTAATTACTTCATTCCTTTGCACTATCGGAGTAAGACATTGAGAAGATCCCATTGACAAGAGCTGACCAGGACGTCTAAAATTTCCTTTGGTCTCTAAGGTTTTTGTGGCACCATTGACATTCACCCCCTTCTCCTCTTCTTCTTTTGGCAGCGTCTTCTCAAGTTCTCCCCAACACACACCAGCCCAGAATTTGTTCTTCATGCCCATTAATGAGAGTTGGAGCTGTGTGCAGAGAACCTAAATAAATTTATTTAACCACTGAGACAGTGACCTGGGGTGAAAAAGTCCCCTCTGGGCCTCTGGACCAGCTGAAGAAGCTCCATGTTTTCCACTCTTTCCAGGGTTTGAGCTTCAGATGAGCTGAGGTGGGACAGTAGGTAGAGCTGGAGAAGATGTGAGAACAGAGAATCAGTCAGTCAACACCCATTTCTTAAGCATTTTCTGTGTGCCCAACTGTGGGGATAACAGGGGATAGAAGGAAAAAGCAAAAATCATCCCTGTCCTCAAGGAGCTTACATTCTTATGGGAAAGACAATGTACACACATATCAGAACACGAGGAATGGATACAGAGTAGATGAAAGTCTTAGGATGATCCCTACAAGAGGGCATGGGGGAGCAGGGAAGAATGGAGAGCATAAGATGCAATCCTTACCCTCCTATAGCATCTTCATTTATAAAATTCAAATCATTCATGGCACCTGCTTCACAGAGCCCTTGTGAGGATCAAATAAGGTAACCTATGTAAAGGGCTTATCAAACCTTTGAGTGCTAAAGGGTAGCTAGCTATAATTATAGGAGATCTGAGCTGGGAGGGACTGTTGAGCTTAAAATGTCAAAGATAAAACATTCCTTAGAACTTGAACCTGAGACCACCGGAGAAAAGTGAATGTGAGAGCCAGTAGGTGCTTTGGAATGTTAATGTTCGAGCTGGTCTGGGGAAGAGGGTGAAACGAAGAACCTTGACTGGCAGAATGAGGAGGGACATCAGGAAATAGAATACCCCGTGAAACCTCTAAATCAACAAGCATTTATTAAGTGTCTACTATGTGCTAAGTGATGGGGACACAAGGAAGGGTAAAAAACAGTCTGTTCTCTGAAGGAGCTTGCAGTCTAATGGGGGAGACAAGGTGAAAATAATCAAGTACAAACAAGCTATATACAGTATAAATTGGAAATAATCAGCAGAGGGAAGGCACCAACATTAATAAACATTGGGAAAAGCTTCTTGTTAAAAGTGGAGTTTTACCTGGGACCTGAAGGATGCTAGGAGGCTGAGATGAGGAGGGAGAACATTCCAGACATGAAGGTTCTCCTGGTTAATTACTTCTTTACAATTCATCACAGCCTTTTTCCCTTTGGTCTTTAAGTGATTCTCAACTTCATTTCTTCAGAGACTGGTTTCCCATGAGTCAAAGTGAAATATCACCAGAAGAAGATTAGTAGAAAAGAGATGAGCCTGGAAGTTAGAGAGTTTGGGGTCATTGATAGGACGCTGCTTCTTCCCAAACACAAGCCAGACAGCTCTCCTCCTCTTCCTCCTCCTCCTTCTCTATTCTGTCTCCAACCCATCTCATTTGTGTTGCCTACTGCAGATTTACTCACTGTAGCCTGACCTTAAGAAAGTCAGTCAATCTCTAGCTCAGAGGATCAGTATTGTCATCTGCAAAGTGGGGATAATGAATTGACACTCAATACCTCACAGAGAAGTGCTTCTTAAGCCTTAGTGCTCTTTAGAAATGACTTGTTGCCATGATCACGTAATAGGGAAATGGTCTTTCCTGTTATCTGCTGCTGTGATTTCTGACTTCCTGGATTCTGGTGGGGGCCTTTCGAAGTGCCTGAGAAGGAGGGTGCCCGGAAGGAGTTCTGAGAAAAGCTGCATAAGCTCTGACATGAATAATTTACCTCCCAAAGAGCCACTAAAGGCTCCAGCATTGCAGGTCTTGGCACTGCAGCTGGTCCATTAGGCTATAAATACCTGACAGGTGCATGGGGGAAGGAAATCTTTAGAGTGTGACAACGGAATCCAACCAGAAATAACAGAAAGGTGTTAGGATACAGGAAGATCGAAGTGTATTACCTTGAAAGTGGCAAAATTATTGAATAACTTAAAACTTTCCAGGGACAGAAATAATCCTTAGAAATGGAGCTTCCTTTGGTTGGTGTCCTTACTGAACTCTTAGGGATCCTCTGCTTTGCATAATCTTATTATTTCTTTTATATAATTAATAGTACCTTAAGTTTACAAAGTGCCTTACAATATTATCTCATTTAAGTCTCACAACCACCTTAGGAGGTGGGTATAATTATTATTCCTATTTTACAGATGAGGAAACTGAGGAAGATAGCAGTTAAATGACTGGCCCAACATCACACAGCTAGGAAGTGCCCGAGGCCACGTTTGAATTCAGATATTCCTGATTCCGGGTCAATGGCACTACCTACTGAATCATCTGGTTGCCTCTAGAATTCTAGAATATTAAAAAAGGATATTGAGGCCAGAAAGGACTTTAAAATTTGGGATGTCCAAGCTGTGATGGATCTTGTATCCAGCAGATAGAATATCAGAGCTGGAAGAGACCTTAGAATACATTGCAACGAATGGTACGGTAGGACACTTGGGAGATAAAACTGTAGATGTAGGAAGGACCTTACAATGGCAGTTACATGGCACCCAGTGGATAGAGCAGGAGACCTGGAGTCAGGAAGACCCGAGTTCAGACATTTACTAGCATTGTGACTTTGGACAAATCACTTAACTTTTGTTTGACTCAATTTCCTCAAATGTAAAATGGGAATAATGATAACACCTACCTCCCTATGAAGATAAAAGCATATATCATTAAAGCACTTAGCACAATGACTGGTGCATAGTAGGAACATCATTGTTATTTTTAAATTAAAAAAAAATTGGAACATCAGAGTTGGAAGGGATGTTAGAACATGAAATATCAAGTGCTGAAACTGATAGATCTTGGGATATAGAACACAGATTGTCAGAACTAGAAGGGACCTTACAGCATGATGCATAAAATGTGAGAAAGAGAGGAAAACAGAAAATTGAGCCTCCGAGTTGGAAGGGGTCTTACCACAAAGACAACAGAATGTTAGAAGAAGTAGAGGTCTTATAACCTAGAATGTCAGCACTGGAAATGACTTTGGAGCACAGACTACTAGAGCTGGTAGGGAAAGCTTAGGTCCCAGAGTTCTAGAGTGGGAACAGAGCTTAGAAATAGCTTTACCCAGTGCCCAGATCCTCTCACTTCCTAAATGTGGATGTGACTTTCAATGTACCAAGTGACAGCTTCTTGGGAAAGCAATCCTTCATCTTCAGGGGCCCAGACAATAGCATTTCATATTTGCAGAGCACTTTATAATTACAAAATTCTTTATATGAATCATTTAATTGAGGCTTACAATACCCCACTGTAGTGCTTTATTCAAAAGGTATTTTCCCCATTTAAAAAATAAGCAAACTGAGACTCAGACAGGGGAAGGAGTTTGTCCAAGATCACGTAGCTAGTAAGTGGTAAGGCTCAGGTGAGAACCAATTACCAAATGAAGTGCATTTTCCAGACACCATGCTCCCTCCTGACTGCTTCATAAATTGGTCACATGTTTAGACCTGGTTGGTGATTTTTCTTTTGTGACGTAGATGTTTGAGCATGAAATTGCTCAATAATCCATATTTGAAGCTCCCCAGCAAGACTCAGATCCCCCTGGGGAAGTTACTTATGTTTTCCCATTACTTTGTAAACCTTCCATTGAAGCCAAGGTTTCCATTCTGTGTCTGTTTGACCCTTCTAGCTAGATTCTTCTTCACTGTAGCTACATCTCTCCTATTTTGTGTCCAGCAATGTTGAGCCACTTGCGGCATGTCCAACACAACCTTCCATAACTAATCAGTGTGAGTTTGCCTTTGTGGTACCCCATATCTGGATTGCTCAACCATCTCACCTCTGCCTCAGTTTCCTCAATTTCCTTAAACACTCATCTCACCAATGTGTTTTATATGATCATATATGTATAACCTACATCAGATTGCATGCTGTCTTGGGTAGGATGGAGTGGAGGAAGTGGGGGAAAATTTACAAGTCAAAATCATATAAAAGTGAATGTTGAAAACTAATTAATTAATTAAGAAAAAAATGCTTATCTCATCTCCCTTCTGTTGCAGTAGTCTTTTCCCAGTCCCTTCAATTGCCAAAACCTTCCACTCTCAGATTACTTTCTGTCTGTGTTATACTTGTCTTGTATGTATCTAGTTGTTTAAATGTTGTCTCCCTCATTAAAATGACAGCTCCCTAAGATTAGGGACTATTGGGGGCTTTCTTTGTCTCCCCAGCACTTAGCTCAATGCCTGGTCCCATAGTAACCATTTAATGAATGCTTGCAGAATGACAAATGATAGCTGAAGAGGGACCAGTGCCAATGACTAAGCTGGTATGGCTTCCCTGAGAAATTCACCAATATTCCTTATAGCTATCATCTCTTTCTAGAGATGGATCAATCCAACAGTGAACAAGTATTTAGAAAGCACCTATACTATTCCAGACGCTGTGCCAGGTACTGCAGATACAAGCACAAATAATGAAATTATCCCTATTTTAAAGGAGTTTCCATTCTAATGGATAAAAGCAGATAAATGAAGTAGTGATGTAGC